CTTAATTCAGTATTCGCAAAATCAAATTTCAACCGAACCCTAGAATCCAACGCTGCATGCAACCACATCAACATAGTGTTAATAAAGAATTTAAAAATAAATAAATTACATTTGTCTTATTCTTTCTATTTACTCTACTGTTATGTAACTAGACTAGTATTATCAACAATCGTTATTTTATATATTTATTTTATGTTTTACATGGCAGCAATTTATTGTAGCCGAACTTTTGCTCGTCTCACCAATTAACGGAAAATTATATCTTTTGCGTTTATACGGTTAGGGCCGAACGAAATCCGTGTTCGATCCGCTTCGTTCGTTCAATCACTTGAGAATCAATATATTCTCTATATTTAAATCTAGACGGCAACAACTCCTATATATTGATGCTCTCTGATGACCACCCCCATTTTTGGATTTTTTGTCACGAAAGCATTTACAATCCTCGAGAAAGAATGCAGCAAACGACTTATTTTCGCGATCGAGAAGATGTGATTCGTTTATCTACAATTTCTACACAAAAATTACAAACGATAATCGACTCATGAGATGCCAAGATTTAAATGGAACGTAATTTGAAAAAGGCGATAGAGGGCGTGACTTCGGTGCGTTTACACGGCCAGGGCCATGTCGGGCCAAGTCCTATCGGTGCTCAAATCAGAGATTTATCGGAGCCGAGCCCGGCTCGAGCCAAACGCGTTCACTTCGTTAAAATGATGACATGTAAACGACGTAATTAGATACAAAGGTCAGTCACGTACGATTTTAATCAAGAAATAAAATTTGCATTTACAATCCTCGAGAAAAGATGCAGCAAACGACTTATTTTCGCTATCGAGAAGATGTGATTAGTTTATCTACAATTTCTACACAAAAATTACAAACGATAATCGACTCATGAGATGCCAAGATTTAAATGGAACGTAATTTGAAAAAGGCGATAGAGGGCGTGACTTCGGTGCGTTTACATGGTCAGGGCCATGTCGGGCCAAGTCCTATCGGAGCTCAAATCAGAGATTTATCGGAGCCGAGCCCGGCTCGAGCCAAACACGTTCACTTCGATAAAATGATGACATGTAAACGACGTAATTAGATACAAAGGTCAGTCACGTACGATTTTAATCAAGAAATAAAATTTGCGTGAAGTTGAGAGTTGTAAACCGAAAAAAAAACTATGATAAAGAATAAGATAATAGAATAGCAGGAGAGATGAATACAAATATAATTTTATGTATTAAATTCCGCATTACCAAATCCAATACTAGTAGTTATTCCAACTCCCTGTGCCCAGTTGTGGTTCCTCACATAATGTGAACACGTTAATGGTTACTTTTAAAAGATTGGTATGGTAACCGTGACGTGTCGTTAACTATCATGGTCATAATCGGACGTGATGTCACGTAATGACCATTACAGAACCAAGTCGGTGTTAAATGCGTGTAAGAGAGAAATTGAGAATCTGCTAAAGCTTCATTCACCGTGGGGGTGACAGCCGTCGTCACAGATACCAAACACATTCCGGACTTTGTTAATATGAACAATCAATTGAGACGACGACACCTCAATTTGAGTTCCCTCGTCAATGTCTGGATTATTGTCCCGTGTTGTATTTTATCGATTTCTTTTTCAGGGTTTGAAATATATTTAATTAGACAATACAATTTATTTTGTTTTCGTCAGTTTATATGATTGCTTAATAAGATAGTATTTTAGACATTTTTTCATTCCATATCGTGTTAGGTTAGCTATTTCAAGCTATTGTCTAAGTTATTAGTATTCGTGTCTTGCATTTTATCGTGCTTGTTCTGTAAAACTCCCTCAGAAGAACTGTGCGTGTATCAACTAAACTAAACTAAAACAGGAAACTAAAACAGCGTTGTTCTTAGCGTGTGAATTCAGTAAATGTACTGACATTTTTTTTAAATAATAGCCACTATCGGTTAAAATAAATCGTAACACTGAAGAAGGAACGAAGTTTAAAATCGAGTTAGGCCAAACTTTTTTTATTCCTTGTTTCTCGAGTTTTTATAAGGCAATTTTTTGGAGGAGGGCGGAAAAGAAATAAAATTAATTCTTTTTTTTTTTCATTAGATTTGTCTGATTCTCAAATAATAATAAATTGTAAGTGAGATTATTGATCGGAGAGAAGAAATGAAATAAAATTGTATTCCATGTATACCCTTGTTTTTCATCTGCGCAAGACTTCGGTATTTTTGATCATGATACTCCCACGAATATGCAACTTGGATTTGTTATGCGGCGGGCAGTAAAAAAATGAAGATAACAATACTATTTTTTAGCATTTTTTTGCGCTTATAAGTCGGTGGGCGCGAGAAATTACGCTGAATAAAATTTTATTTTTATCTCATTTTCGGCTCCTGTTCATTCGGCGGATTCGCGAAACAAGGGATAATAAAAGTCTGGCCTTAACAATTACTACAAAAATAGAAAGTCACGACTGAATTCTTACAATTTATAAGATTGTTGGTGCATGCCATCAGGGAGCTGTAATTACAGCTCCCTGATGCCATGCATGATGGGTGGTGGTGGTCACGGTATATACTAGTATACGATATACCCTCTTTAGTCTGGTGGTGCGTCCCTGCTCATCTCATCGCAAGTTGCAATACACGTAGTGCTCCCGTGTATTGGTCTGCTACAGGGGTATGTTATTGTCAAGTAACGTGAACGCTCTTCTTGCAGTAAAAGACAATTTCGGGATAAATGAGACAGAATGCTCGCTGAATACACAAAGAAATCCTTCAATAGAAATCGTTTATTTCACTTACCCGTCGATCAATGGCGTGTTCGTAAGCACGGCCTGGGTCCTAGTCATCGGTTCTCTCTTACGTTTCTCGGCGGCCGCCACAGCCGTCGACGCAGTCATGGCTGTAACGATGACCAGAAAAAGGCCAAGACCGAGTAGAATAGTGTTTCTATTGCTTAAATGGCTAATCTTCACTTCTGGTTTCAGTAAGTCTTGATCGGCACCCACGCGAAAAATGCGATCCGGGCCATCTGCCGCGGGTTCTTCCACGTTCGATTGCTTCCTCAGTTTTGTGCTGGTCTCCGAATTTTGGTTCATCGTGTCTTGTTAGTAACTGCCGTGAAATTTCACCAAGTCGTCAGGTATGTACCCTGACAAGTCTTCTGGTTAATCCGAAGAACGGGAGCCACGTATACACCGAGTTACGATTGACAAAGTGGCAATGTGTTTAGATAGTAAGCCCTCTGTGTGTACCCCACTATGTCCGTGCATTGTTGTTTACCAGCCGCGGCGAAGAAACAATGCGTTACAGGTCACATTGCCGACCCTTACACTTTCACTCACTGATTTGCATAACAATAGCAGCGGGTCAAAGGCATTCTATTTTTACAACTGGTCGCAATTTGCTGCTTTCATGCCACCTGAAAATAAAAAATGGCCTCTATACGCACTATGATACATAGACGTATGATATGCTCACGTGATGACGACGTCTGATCTTTAAACACGTTTCAATAGTAGTCACGGTAACATTTGTTATTTCTTTTCAGAAAGGGAGGGATAAAAAAAAACGGATGATATTCAATAAATCGACCTACATTTAGCACAGCTGGTCCATGGCTTAAACGTGGACTCTACTACTAGTATTACAATGTACCGTGTTTCTAATACCTGGACCTCCATGCTAAGACAAAATAAGACATACCCTTGTCTGAGGCGATGCGGCTATATAATCACTAACTTAATTATTCAATAATGAAATTGCGACGTGATGACTAGGCGACAAGCAAATGGAATATATTAAAAAAAACGTAAATCATGCCATTAAGCTTCCTTATTTCTCAATCATCATCAATTATACATTCAATAATTATACGTGTATATTTCTATATATTTACCTATGTATATTTAATAATAATAATAAATAAGTTTGAGCATAAAATGGAGAATTGAAGAATACATGTACCTCGTGACTATGCTAGTCATTAGTTTTAAACTATCAATTATCGCTATGTAAGATCTATTTATTTTACACGCCTAAGATCAAATGTGAAAACAGATGTTATATAGTGAGATATATAATATATATAATGGGTAAATTGTTTTATTTAAATAAAATAAATTGTAGATTTACTAGACCACCAGAAAAGCTCACATCATCAGAATAGATATACTGGTAATCAAATAACGTTTTATTAAATTAAAGTTCTGCGTATCATACGTAATCTGATTTTGTCTTCAATGGTGACATAAATATGTGCCGTTAGAACGATGGTGTCAACTCTTGACAAGGCTTCAAGTTCGTTTGAAATGTTAATAGTTTAGTTTAGCTCGTGCCCCCTCCACCACCATGAACAGGGGATACAGGTGACTGTTCTACGACAACGTGACTGAATAATCGAGACTTTCATTTAAGCAAATACATTGAACGTGTCTAGGTCTCCGGTATTACATGTGTAATGCTCAGGCTGTATTACCACAACACATCATACAGCTCCATCCAAGAGACAGTTCACTGGCGGATCCAGAAAAACGTCGGTGTATACCGCGCCCCCACCGACGTGTACACTGCGGTGAACGTGTATAGCGTATATTGTCAAAATAATATAGTGTTAGATACAGACAGTATTTTTGGTTTTTAGACCACAGTCTCACAAACCGAACAACGATGACCAGAAACCAATTTTTTTTTAAACTTCGCAGTCATCGCGAGGCGTCGTGTTCGATACGGGCCGGACTGCGCGCCGCACACAACATGTGTAAAATACATTCTGTACGTAAAGCATGCCGTGGTAGAGTAGGGACCATACAAAATCATATGTACCGTATGCTGTTATGCATAATAAACACAGATGGCTGACATTTGTGTAAACCAATAATAAATTTTAGAACTCATTTTGCACTCTGACAATGATGTAATTCGCCTTTTCTGCCATGATCAGCGTGTTCTTAGACTACGGTAGAATGGCTAGAGCACACACAACCTTTCTCGATAAATCGAGCGCGAATACAGTACACTGTACAACTGAACATATAATTCAATACAAAAGTTATAGCAGGCCCCGTTATACTTGTTTCGTTATCCGTTATGAGGGCTTTTTAATTCCTGGTGATGCGTTCTCGGGATTTTTAATTCATGGTGATTCGTTCTCAGCTAATTCCTCGTTCTTCGTTATTGGGTGTAATGAATTCCCAGTGATACGTTCTCGCAACTTTTAATTTCGCGTTATACGTTCTTTGACTTTCCCGTTCTCTGTATTGTACGCTGAATTGCGCCACCAATAGTTTAAAATCGGTACACCTGAGTGTTTTTTTATACACTCGCGTACTTGTAGTATGATAGAGTTCTTCCCATTGGTCAATTCTTCGAAGTGTATGGTGATCTTTTGCCAATCAAATCTACTGTTCTATAATGATTACAGTATTGGGGCAGCCAAATCGAATTGGCTAACTGCCTGGGTTTTGACTAAACAGTTGGATTTCGAATTTCGCTGGCGCCGTCTTGTTATTATATGAGTGGTAGGCGAATGTACCGGCGACTGACTAACTATGCCGACCCTACTTTAGGCCACTTTTTATTATCCAAGAAACGTTCCGAGCGCCTGTGGCTTGCTGGTGTGTCTAGGAAATACTTGAGGTTTCATGTACGTCTTTTAATGCTAAAACGCTTTATTACATGATAAATTATAGTTTTCGTCTGAATTGTCCTATTGTTTATTGATTCCTTATTACGTCATAGTTTTCCAATGGAACATTAAAAGGTTCACAACTGTTAATAATGTATAGTAGATAAGGAAAAAACGTCAAAGCGTTTTTCCTCTGTTCTACAGGGACGTATATTATTAGAATTAATTTTGAATTATTCATTTGAGAACAATTTTCAATGTGCTAATTATTTTCATACTTATGAACCCCCTTCCCCTCTTATTTACTAATTCCTAAATTTAAGTTAAAGTCATTATTTGGCTATATATGCAATTTACAAACCTGATTAGTTTAGGTTAAAATCTGTTGATATTAATTCCCTGATAAGCATAATATTTTATTTGGGTTTTAATCTCATTTAAATGAAACTTGCTACATGGATGGTTTGTTACATTGCACAAACCTTATTAGTTTTACACTGAAATCTGTTCATATTAATGATCTATTTTGCATAATTAGTTTTAAGCTTTTCCATCAATATCTCAAGTACAAGTAATTTTGAATTAATTTTTAATGTGTCTCCATTACTCAGCACACAAGAGTTTTTCTAAGCTTTCTTTGATATTATATTTATTTGACAAACTATTTTTCGTCATCTTTACTTAATTTAGTTGTTTATTTTGTATCAGTATGCCAGATCATTTGGGAACACAATTAAAGAAAATTTGAAAAGATCATATATTTGGTCAGTCTGTTACTTCACCAGTCCGTCATGATCGTTTTGTCCAGCAGCCACAAACCAAATTTCATTTTGAGACAGTCCAAAGCTCCAATACAACCATTACCAGTTGTACCACGAGAAAAGTAGAAAAGAGAAAATGAGAAATTGGGCTGTTGACAATGGGAAAGTTTTTAGACAAAGATCAATCCGACAAGAAAACACAAAGTATAAGGCCACTGAATTTATACGAGAAAGAGATACCAATTGGTGAAACATTGCATAGAGAGAGACATGATTTGTCAGATGGGTCAGCTGTTGAGAAGGACACATCTGGGAAAACTGATGAGCATAAAGAAGAATATAGTAGTGATGAAAACTAGTGATTCAGAAACTGAGGAAGTAGATAACACGAAAGAAGTGAATTTTATGAGCTGCTGAACAAAGAGAAGCAGTGTGTGCAAGATAGGTTGGCCCCTGAACAGAAAGCAACTAGTAGGGAAACTGTTTCCACAAAGAGACGACTACAATAATGACGAGAACAGCAGTTTAGAAACCGAGGAAATAGATAGTTTCAAACAGAAAGATCAGTTAAGAAATGTATTGTCTAACTACTAGGTCTTACCAGCAATCCAAATTAATGTCAAATATCTTCAATAAATGCTTTTATATTCAACAACAATTCCTGGTGATTGGTGAATAGGTAATTGGAATTCCTGGTGATGGTGAATAGGTAATTGGAATTCCTGGTGATTGGTGAATAGGTAATTGGAATTCCTGGTGATTGGTGAATAGGTAACTGGAATACCTGGTGATTGGTGATTTCCCCCTTTAAATCTTGGTGATTGGTGATTGGGAGGGGGTATAAATGGGCCTGGACTGAAAGTTAATGTCTGACAACCTCTCTAAAATATGTTAATAGTACCAAAGACACACTAATTATTGATATTAATTAAACTTAAATAATACACGTGCGAATTCACATAGCTGATTACTGTATTTATCGAGCATAATACTATATTGTGTACTGTTTCCATCTTGCTGCAGTTTATGCAGTTCAGTTGGTCGTGGTATACGTTGTGGGCGACCACAACGTCATGTCAGAATATCCTAAGTTGCCAATATCAGCTACTAAACTGCAGCAATGTTTCATCATACTACTGTTTTATGAAAATTCACAATATATGAACAAAAATGTGTAAAACAATACTGCATTTTCAAAATAATTAGTTACCCCAGTCTCATCCTATTATATTAGCACGCAGCGTTTTGTCGTTATAAGTTCCACAGTTCTGAAGATGTTAATGTCTATCACGATACGCTCTTGTCTATGCAAACTTCGTCAATGTTACTGATTGGCAATGCTGCCCTCAACGGCGTCAGTATAAGGCATCACTGAAGACTTGTACTGTCCATGGAAGGTACTGTCTCAGTATAGTGATTATAATGGTGGTTTCGCAAAAGAGGGCGTGGTATTTTTTGTAACTCGATGTTTTCGTAACTGAAACAATTCATCATTTCGTCAATATACAGAGCATGGTTGTATAATGCGACACATGCAATTAGGTAGGTATGGTCAAGAAGTGGCCTGTTAGCATAACATGGCTAATTGCATCATGATTATCTATCGTCGTATTTAATGCCGCATTAAAATACTAAAAATCAACGGCTTGTTCTAGATGCATAGTACAACGATATTTCTACAATTTTACAACCTCCTACTATCCTGCTCTGTCCGACAACCCCTCCATCAACACCACCATAAACTACAACCTTTAAACATGATGAATTGGGATTTAAACAGGGTACACATATTGTCACTGGCGATGTAAGCTACTCGAATTATCTGAAGATCGTGTGGTGGTTGCCATAACATCATCAAGGTCTCTC